ATTTTCTGACTGTTACCCCTTCTGGCGGCAGGTGCAACACCTTTGTTGAAAGTGGAAAAGATATCTCAAACAATTGACACCAGTAGCCTCTCCATTGAGAACTTGATACATTGTCTGGCCCTTTTGCTACGTTTCTCTTTCAGTGCTTCTGCGACCTTTGAAGTTCGAAGCCTTCTAGAATTCAAGTAATCCTTGAACCAAACTTGAGTAGTTGTTTATGAAATTAATTCCAAGCAACCTTTTTGTTGTGGAAAATATAAATGAATCAATAAGAAACTTTTTTAAACTGATTTCATTATGATAAATTATGGATTGTTTTTGGAACCTGGGTTTTTATAACTGATTTGTGTGAACTAAGTAAAAATAATTTTGAGAAACAAAGCCACTTGAAAAATGAATTTGAAAGAGTTGATAATAAATATGCTTATCATTAAATAAATTAAAATAAAGAAGAAAAAAGATTACCGATATTCAGGAGCTGTCTGCAGCGCTTGGCAGGTTAGAATATATATGTAACAGTGCAAAATCTTTGTGTAGTTTGCTAAATGTTAGTGAGAAATTTTAGTTGCATAAATAACTTCCTTAAAACCTCTGAGAACTTCAGTACTGTAAATACATGATACCATATCTTAGAATCTTTTCTAACAAGGTTCAGTTTCAATTAAGGAAGGTACCTTCCACCTCCAGAGAATAAGTCAACTGTTTCCTCCCAGAAAATGTGAATATTTTGGACAGAACATCAATTTGTTGCCCGTGCAGCAATCTCTCTCCCCACTGCAGGAGGCTGTAGCAAATATTTCTAGAGTGATTTCGGTCAGCCACCCCTGAAGGTACCCATTCCTGGTGAACGGACCAGTCCTGGCTTCTTATTACATACCTTGATAAAGCCCTTCGAACTCAAGAGGGGATGGTGGTCTTTTTGTGCTTGTTAAAGAAGGAAGTCCTCTTCTAAACTAGTAACCAGGTACATTCCATTGTGTGTTATAGATTATTAATATGCATACTCCTCATCATATTTTTAAGGTTTTATTACCTAATACATAAAGTAAAGAGGGAATCTATTCTTGTATTTACATCGATCGGGCATTAAAATAGTGTCGATGATACTTTGACTGCAATTCTTTTTTCGTTTACCCGCTGAGAGCCTAATGGAAAATGAAATTTTGAAACCTTTCTGTGTTAGACGTAGTTGTACCAAGTAAAGTTTTCTTTTGATTGTTCTTTAGAGTCCAAGCGATCATAAGGTGGCCATACGATATCTGAAAAGGAGCTTAACAGTTACTAGTCCAATTCTTGCAGTTTGATAGTCACTAATATGCGTCAATTTTGCATCAAGTATGAACCGCCTACAAGTAAATTAGCGAGACATGAAAAAGAGTGACAGCCAAAACGGAGCCCGAATCTGGGCCATGATATAGGCTTTACTTCTTGATTGAGGCCTAAATTTGCGTTAATCCTGAGTTGGTGCCAGGGGACATCTCATACAACGCTGAGTTTGATAAATTAGCACATCATTATTTGGATCCCAGCCCACTCTCCTTCATCATGATTCCAAATTTCAACAATCTTTTGAGTCTTCTCAGTTGAGATCGTATTTTATGAACTCAATCATGGTACAGTGGACTCCTTCAATTGGTAGAAGTCAAGAATTAAGAAAAAGAAATAAATTAATAAATCGAATTAAATTTGATAACAACCAAAAAATGATTAAATTTTAGTGGAAAAAAAAGATAAGACACATAGATGGCAGCTAACATAACAGCACCGTCCTTGAATGAAATGTACTCACCGTTTGTTAGTGATTTGCCAACCACACATTCAACGCACCGTTTCACCTATCCCAATTGCCAACTCACGTCCCGCACTTAATATGGTGAAATGTCAAATTTTAAGTGGGTGATAGCACACTGCCACGTGTTAGCCGATAAGAAGTGAACCCGCTTGTTTAAGCCTTAAACGGTTGATGAGTCTCTAAATTTAGAAAAAGACGTGCGCCGGTCACGCAATTCCCGCCACCTCTTACGCGTATCAACTTTCTTGCAATGAAAATTACAAAAAATAAATAAATAAAAAATATTTTTTAAATACTAAAATGTTTTGGTTTTGTCTCGGGTGTTGACTCGTTACCAACTGTTGATTTTTTCAGAGGGAAAATTCATTAATCGATTTTCCCACTACGTGTTCATCATTTCAAGACAAAGAAAGCATCCTGTTTGAGATTACATTACATTACTAATTAGATCTTCTTTTATCGGATCCGATATTTGGGTCATCATCATCATTCAATTCAATTCTCTGCATGTTAATTCGGAGGATCCATCAAAAGCGGAGGAAGAAAGAACGATTTCCCAGGCTTTTTTGGATCTTTCTACTTCTCTCTCACCCCTAGAAATCTTCATCTCTTTTATAACACAACATCAAGTTTCTAAATAAAGAAAATACACTGAATTCATATTCATAACAAAGAGAGAGAAAAGAGAATTAGGGTATGATCCAAACGCAGAATTTTATTTCCCTTACTCTTTCAATGCTTTTGTTAAGAGATTTGTAGTGTTTATTTTTTTTTTTTTTTGGTCATATAGCGGTAGTTGTTAATATGAGTAACAAGCTAGATGATGAGCAAATCGCGGAACTTCGTGAGATCTTTCGTTCTTTTGATCGAAACAACGATGGAAGCCTAACTCAGCTGGAACTCGGCTCACTCCTTAGATCCTTAGGGTTAAAACCGAGCTCTGATCAGCTGGAAACCCTAATTCAAAAGGCAGATACTAACAGCAACGGACTAATCGAGTTCTCGGAGTTCGTCGCCCTCGTGGCGCCGGAGCTACTCTCCAGTAAGTCACCGTACAGTGAGGAGCAGTTGAAGCAGCTGTTTAGGATGTTTGATAGAGATGGCAATGGGTTCATTACTGCAGCTGAGTTGGCTCATTCGATGGCGAAACTAGGGCATGCGTTGACGGCAGAAGAGTTGACGGGGATGATCAGGGAGGCGGACACAGACGGGGATGGGAGGATCAGTTTTCAGGAGTTCGCGCAGGCGATTACTTCGGCTGCTTTTGATAATTCTTGGGCTTGAAACTTTTGTGTATGCAAGTTTTGTGGTATGAACAAAGTTTGTTTTTGGTTTTTGCTTTTGTTGGTTAATGCACGGATTACTTGTTAATAGTTACGGTATAGTTTCTGTTCCTGCTGTGGTTGATTTAGAACAGTGAATATTTCAGATATGGTTATTGAATTGTTGTGTAAATAGGTTTCTTTGAGCGCAAATGAAGGTAGTAATTAAGAGTTGAATTGATGACCGATTTGATGAAAAAAGTTATTATTTTTGGATTAGTATAAGATTCTGACATCAAGGATTTGTTGTTGTAGAGCTATCATATGATCATTGACATTGATAAAAGGATGCTTATAATTATGGGAATTCAATAGACAGAATTACTTGCTTAAATTGAAGACTTATACTTGCTCAATTGACTTGTTCATTGCTTTGTGTGTAGAGGTAGAGGGAAAGTTGTCAATGGCTGTTTACTTTGCAGCTTGATAATTGATGATATGTTTTCTTTACTCTTTAGAAATTAGTTAACCCTACTCTTACATTCGTTAGAGGCCTCTCAGTCTAGTTATCTACATGAGAGCATAGATATGAAGTCCCCTGGTTACACCTTCACATCTATTTTCTTCATGTAATCTCTTTATTTTCGTTTTTTCCTTTATATAAACCCCATGAAATGATAAAAAAAGAGTTAGAGAATTTCCATAAAACTCTTGTTGTAAGCTCTCACAGCAAATATAAAAACAATGGACGTAGGCATAAGAAGTTACCTCACCGAACCACTTTAAAAATCTTATTATTTTTTACTTTATTACATTTATCATTCATCCATTCATTATCCGTAATCACGTCCACATTCATTCTAGTTCCACCAAGGTCAATCAAATCTCTTTAGTTAGTGCGAATATTCGTATCAACGTGGTGATTCGATGTATACCTTTTCACATGATAATCAGGAGCTGAACATTATTTTGTGCTGTGCCCTCTTAGTTTTATTTAGTTAAAGCTTGGCATGCTTTAATAAATTCATCGAAATTTATATTGATAACAAATGGCAACACAGAAGAAATATAATAAAAGTGATGATTTTGGATGACCAGAGGTTGTGGCAACAGTGTTTCACGAGGAGAATTTAAAGTTTAAACCCACGTTTTGTTTGGATTATGGCGGTGGTCACATGATTTATTCCCACATAGCGATCCATTCAATTTCACTGATTTTTTCACCTCCAAATTTTATGTCTACGTTAAGTATCATCCAACAACATTAATGCATTGAAAGAAAATAAGAGCCTATGATTAAGAATAATTTGATCATATTTATTATTTAATTCAATTCAATTAAAAAAAAAAAAAAGGAGCTTATTTCAATAATTAATTAGAGGCGGCAAACGGCATTACTCTAATCACAGTTAAAATTCTAGAACTCCGACACAGACGGTTTACATGTGGTATTAATAGTGGTGATCAAGTTTAACAAGAACATGATTCTCGATTTCTTTTTCCTGAATATCTTTATGGATAAACACGTGTAAGGATGAAATAGTTATTGATAATTAGGGATGTGCTTGTTTTATTATTTTGGATAGAATTTTGAGAACAATATTGAGTAGTTGAATAGAGTGAGTATTACGAGGTAAAATATAAAATTTAACAAAAAAACCTATAGGTTTACTAATTTAACTAAACACCCCAATGTATAAAATTTTTGTAAAATAACAAAAACACCCCTCATCCACCCACAGTGCCAGATTCTGACTACCACCGTTGGAATCTGGTCGAAAGATGGCGTTATGACGCAGACCGGTCGGATCTGTCTGATCGTGCATCGATATGGCATTTTCCCACCAGATCCACCACGGATCTGGCCGAAAAAGGCTTAAATTCCTTTTCCATTAAAATTCTTTACCACAATTGAATTTCAGAAAGTTTCTCTGACAAGTGAAAAATAGAGCGAAACAAAAAGGCTTTTGACATACCCAGCTACATTGTCAAGTCAAATATTAGCAGTGAAACAGTAACACAAATCTTCTAAGCTGCTCTCATTTTCCAGAAGTCCAATCCAAATAACAAATAGCGCCAAGTATGAGAAAGAAAATTAGAATTTTTGGATGTTTTTGAAGATATGAAAATAGCAATGTAGATGCATCATGCCTTCTTCTTTTTGGATTTGAGTGTCACAAACCCGATAAATATGCATAAGAAGCAGAGAAGCACCACTCCAGCAAATACTGGCATCAGTATGGCATACTCTTGGGGAAGGAAATATTGGTGGATGAAGTGATCACTGTCTACAAATGGCTGAAAATCCAAAATATGCAAAATTAACAACAGCCTAAACCTAGTGCAAAATTCACAAAGAAGTACAGATACTAACCAGGATGATGACCCAAAAAGTATAATAAGTGAAAATGGATAAGCTGATAAAAGATAATAAAAATCCAACTGCTCGATCTGCTAGTTCCATTCTGATTCCACAGCTCTAAAATTCTGCAAAGAAAAACTTCAGATCATAGCATTGATCAAAAACAGAGTGATTCAAATGAACATATCAACCAAATTATTTGAGAACGAAAAATATTTGACGATGTTTTCCACTGTAACAACCAAAGTTTCAGCTTGACTGATAGAAAGTTCAGTTAGAGACAGCCAAGATCACCTTCCACTCTTAAGTCTTTTAAGTTCAAACATACTTTTGGAACCTCCTCTTCTTCCATTGTAACTCAATAAATCAATCACAACACTACATATAATGGCCGAAGGCCTTACGGAAACTAAAATTTTAACCATAAAACATCATATGATATAAAAAGATCACTAAAATTCAATATCCAAAAATCCAAGAGTAGGAATTTTCAAACCAATTTGAATACACCGATCTAATTATCCTGCACCAGTTGCGTGGCCAACGTCAAAAGACGAATTTTTAAGCCAACCAAACCCTGTGATCTCCACAGGACTATAAATTCTCAATACATATACTAGTATTTTAATAAATCATATGATACAACTCAATACAATTCACATCAATTCCGTTACTGAAACCTAAGCGACTAAAATGAAAACAATAAAGAAATAACAAAGTAATTACACACCTGCAAACAGATGCACTTCAGAATTATACCATTCTACTAAAATTCAACAGCATGAATATCATAGCTAGCTAATCATCTTGAAACTATATTACAGTCACGATCTCGATAAATTCAATTTCAGGTATTCAAATACATAAATCATCGTTGTTTCACCACAAATCAAAATTTATCAGAGAGGGTAAGCAGATTTACCTTAATTTCAAGTGAAAATCCCAATAAGAATCACTGGGTTTTTGTTCTCAATCTTCAATGCCGCCCACGCCCTCTCGATCATCCGACCTCTCCTCATTTCACTGTTTTCTTTTTTTTTGTGTTTTATACGTTGGGCTGGTTTGGGCTGTGATAGGCCCAAAGTTTTTACTAAAAGCACTTCACTTCTTCCATTTCCATCAGTGATGTTCTTTTTGCTTCCATCAAAATTAATTTGAATTTATAAATGAGCAATAACACTCACAGACTTTTTTTATTCATAATTATGAATGTAAAATTTTGTAATTAAACAGTTAAAATTTATCAAAATAGGCCAAGAAGATCTATTATCATCTGACTAATTGAGAGTAATCTTGTTAGAAAAGATTGTTTGGTATATAACAATTTTCCTTTATAAATATACCAAAAGATTATCCAAAGTTATCACTCAAAAATCTTTTGGAAATTGCTATCCTATGTTCCCAGGGATTAAATTATGACTCATCATTTGAATTACTTACTTCATAAACTTAATTCAAATTCAAAACAATACCTTCTTCATTAAGCACTGTTCCTCAACTTTAGCCTCCTGGAATAGTTCGTGTGTTACACTCCTCTTGTTCAACCATCATCTACTTCATAAACTTAATTCTCAAATTAAAAAGACTCTTCTTTTAAGCAACATTGTATCCTCAACTTTACCCCTGGAAGTACTCGTGTTACACTGCTCTTTTTCAACACCATTGGGTGCTTGATGGTAAAAATAAAAAAAAGATTTAAGTTTTACAATGTTTTCGAGTTTAAGTCTGTCAGGATCCACATGAAAGGGAAAAGGGGTGAGCATATGGTTATAAAGGCTGACACCTCCTTGGCAATGCCGATTTTCAAGGGAGAGTTCTACCAAGCCATCAAAAACCTATGGCCCAACCCAAATTGTTGATTATGGAGTGGGTTCCTATCAATTGGTACAGAACATGACCTACGCTACGCGTAACAACTTAACCGTGGCCCGGCTGCTACCCCAAGGAAAAGGTCTGTCGAAATACACCCAAGGGGTAAAGAGGTCGACGTGAAGCCCAAGCCGCAGTGGCCCAATGGGCCGCCTCGAGGGGTAGAGAAGGAGAGTTGCTGACGCTTCTAGTGTGAAGTAAGGACCCAAAGGGTAGAGGCAGTAAAGGCCGGGAGGTGAGGTAGCCGATGAGGGGGACCACTCTCTGGAAAGAAGGACCAACAGGGCATGATCTCGAAGCATGATGGAATGTTAGGATCCCACATGAAAGGAAAACAAGGCCGTGGCATATGGTTTTATAAAGCTTTGGGAACTTCCCTTGGCAAGCCGGTTTTCCAAGAGAGTTTTACTCAGCCCATGAAAGGAACTATGGCTCAACAAATTGTTGGGTTATTGGAGTGTGTTTCCTATCAAAGTCCTCATGACCTCTATAAGCCAGTGGTCATTGGAGCTCGTACCCAACAATAGTTTTCCAGTAAAAAAAAAAATTGTATCCTCAACTAGACCTTTGGCTCATCAACCCAAAGCTTTTTTATGTAAAAAAACTTGCTAACATACAGCAATCCTTAATTTCTTTTCTGATGTAAAATGCTTGCAATTTGTGGATGTGTCAAAATTTGCTGAGCAAGTAAACCCAGGGGAACATACAAACTCATTAACATTAAATAAAAGCTTGGTTTATAAGATTAAAGCCACGAAGTTAAGAATGTCAGTCCTCCTCTGGTTAAATAGACCTGGTTCATCCCGGTTTGTATTGCCGCGGTCTGGTGTATTTACAGGATGGACAAGTACAACTAGAAAACAACAATAATCATCATACTATTTTTTGTGATCACAATAACCAGAATCTCACCAGAAAATGCGGGTCAAGAAAATTAAAGTCAGAAAATCAAGGGAAACAAACAAAAGCTTGATCCTAATGTGTTTAGTTCCGAATGGATGCAGTCTCTGATGATACCAGCATCAACCAAATCTCCCTTAGAGTGAATCTCAAAATTTAAGATCCTCCAAAAACACAAGAAATCTGAACTTTTAACTTTTTTTGGCAGCATCCACAGCATTAATCCTTCCTACTAACCCCATCAAACCCACCTCTTTTGTAGTTCAACATCGACATATCAGCCCCCACTGTTGTAGAGATGCTACACTGGGTATGACCCAAGCTGTCCTTGGTTGGCGCAACCATCATTGCACTTGAAGGAAGTGTTTAGGGTAATCTTTGTTTAACGAGGTGAATAGATGCTGTCTGAATCCTGTTCTAGATGTACTGATCCCATTAGTTTTTGGCTTGGAAATTGTGTACTTGGTTGCTCATGTTCATGTGTGTGACCAGACACCAGTATGGGTTTCTCGATGAACCACGATTGAGCAGAAGGCTTCGACGGGTCAAGCCATCGCAGAATCGTAGGTACCAAATATTTGCACCAATTCTGTCTTCCTTTCTGTATCTTACGGCGTTGAAACTTGAGTGCCAACATCAACTACTAGCACTGTTCTCTGTGGAACAAAATGAAGAACATATGAGATTATTGTAACAACAATTCTGGCACTTCAAAACCTGGGGTGGTAAAAAAGGTAAAGAAAAATTACAATTCTCTACGGTAATTACTCGCATATGGTAGTACAAGAACAGCAATAAACAGTAAGCCGCAGAAGGACGCATTTCAGTAATATCAGCTTAAAATTAGCCAATGTCGAGTAGTCCAAGTTTTTTTTTTTTTGTCTTTAATCAAACAAATTAATTCATGAGTCCAAAGCACACCAAAATGCTTACACTAATTATGCAACCATATCACGGATATTATATAGTTATATTTCGGATGACAAAATGTGCTTCTTGGGTTCGGCATTTAGGCATTAATATAAATGCCAGCCAAATACACTGTTGGAAAACTCTAAACCAAACATCTATTATAAGTTCCAAGCCCTATCTAGCTATTAGGCAAGCATATGAACAGAAAATAAAGGCTCTCTACAAAGTCAATTCCAATCTTGTGATGCTCAAACATCCAAAAGCACTAGATAAATCAACAGCCATTAAAAAAAATCCCTACAACTTAAGCCAAACATCTCACTTGAAAAGCACACACCATCGCTTCCGAGCCACAATGATATTTAAAGATCATACAGCAAAACTACAAACTGAAAAATGAACTATTATCAGATTCAAGGGAAAAGTCCACTTTCAAAGATGCCTGATTATTTTTCAATAAGAGAAAACCATGTTGTTATTAATGAAGAAATTTTATTTCATAGATGTTTGACGGACATGGCACTCCAGTAGATGCTTCAAAACATGAATTAAATTTTATAAAACACCATTGGAGACTTTGTGCAAGTTAAGAGAGATACAAGGGGAATCAGAGGGATAAATGTCGGCTAAATACTCCTAATATAACTCATACATAACAACAAAAGATACACAAAAGCTTTTAGTACTTAATAGCAAAGATTACTCCCATGACAAATCTAAACACACTTCAATACAGAATCCCCCTAGAAGAGATTCATGTTGTGACTCCTTAAGTCCTCATAATTATTCTTCATAAACCACTTTCCTAATTAACTTAACCAAACTTGGATATACTGTAAAGTTGCGGCAGCACCTTAAACTGAGCCGAAGCACAGTAATTCACCACCAACCTTCCACTTCTCTTATGAATTACTACACTAGAGGTAGGTTCTCAACATTGTTATCATCACCATCATGTTTCGCTTCTCATTCAAAAAATCACAAGCTGTAATTATTCACTTGCAGGTTAGCAACAACCTAAAAACCAAATTCCCACAAATAGATTGGCAATATAATTAATAAACTCTCAGTGTGAGAAAAGGTACACTATTTTCGGGACATTCATTATAAAACTGTCTGTTTAATCCATAAAATTTAAAAATACCATCTACACGTTCCAAGTGCCATTGCCATAAATATCTTACAACATAGTGGAGAACGAAAAAATTCATGCAAATAGAACTCAATAACTTTCATCAAAACAATACTTTATTTTCCTTATTACAAAAACAAAATCCCTAATTGCTCATGATCATCAAAAATAAAAATAAAGAATAAATTAAAAAACCACAACAGAAAATCAATAACACAAATCAATGTCCGAACAAAACGATGAAAACTCAATAAGAAAAAAGAAATCAAAAAAAAGTACACCTGTGAGC